TATCTCTATTATAATAGCCCTCCCTTCATTTTCTTTAGTTAATAACCCCCTTGCTTGGTTCCTTTCCTTACCAGTCTCCCCTCCATTAATGAGAACCTAAGCTGCTTTCTCATGACCACCCTTAATTATGTTCTCATTCTCTTTTCACCTTGCCCCATTTGCTCTACTAACCTCTAACTTTGGACAAATCCAATCTGCCTCCAGTGTGGGCTACTAAAAGCCAGAGTTTTTGAGCTAGGTGAGATTCTTTAATGCGCTGTTTTGCTCTTTAATCTTTACTGTTCATGTTAGAATACCTGACCTTACCTGACACAGTAGGCATATGATGCTTTTAATTAATAGTGATTTCAAAAGTGACTTCAACTCTCAATATAATCCAATTACCCAGGATCTCTGTGATTCTATCAATAATGTCTAATTTATTTTCACAATATGTTATGAGTAGTACTAATTATATTATTAATGTTTCATAAATGAAAACCAAGGCACAGGATGGGAAAATAGTTTGTGGCATCAGCTTGCAGGCATACTTTTTTTGGAACTTTGAAAGATAGGTTATAATGGTAAAATTAAGCAACTTGTCTTCTCCACATTAGTTCTGTCTCATGGGTCAGTATAATGGCTTTAGCATCATTGTTTTTAAGGAATTGTGATGAATTATTCTTTATAGTTTTCTTTTTGAGTTGTAAAATGTCCTATCAATTCTAGTCTATAACTTTTGGGGGAGGGGTGTGTGTGTGTGTGTGTGTGTGTGTGTGTGTGTGTAGTAGGTAACCATCTTTGGCTTTGGTTTTTAAGAAGAATTTTAAAAATCTTGTTACAACGAGAAAACTTCTCTTCCAGTTTTTATTTAGTTTTCCTTTATTCCCTTTGGAAATAGTGGACATGACCCAGTTATATTTTGAGAATTCATTTCACGGAACAGTGTTAAAATATTTTTGTTCTTCTAATCAAGTTCAGTGTGAGAATTGGCAGGCATCCATAGCTTCTCTTCTTTAACATGCAAAGAATTCTGTTCCTTGGTTAAGATATTGGCTCCATTATTATACTTACTGGTTCTGGGATAGCAGGGTATGATCTGAGGAACATAGCTGCTTTGTACATAAATGTTTTTTTCTTTTTAAGCATTTTTTATCTTGATTTTGTTATATAACTCTCTAACAGTGACCTTTGAAGTACATAATAGTATGGTAAAAGTATGGTAGAAGAAGAATACTGTATATATTGGGAATTAATTATTGAATAATATTTGGATTGTTACAAAATTCAACATGACTTTATTGCTGCATCAGGATAATTTCTTAATAAAAAGTTGTTCCAGCTGCCTTCACTTGTTTGATTTAGCATGCTATGTGAGTGTTAGTAAATTGACATTTAGTTTGAAAATACATTTTGGCTAAGTTATGGTTAAGAGATAAAATATGCGTATTAGATTAACTCAGTGATTTTACCTTGAAAGCATTATAGAAATGAACATTGAAAACCATTTATAATACATAATGTTAGATGTTGGCTAAAATGTTCTTGATGTTTAAAGTACAGTACAGTTCTTTTTCTATATTTGGTAAGAAAAAACTATAATTTGTGGGGGAAGAGAATGGAAAAGAAAGAAAGGAAGAGCAAGGTTGAGGTGGGTGGGGCCTATTAGTTTCAGAGACCTGCCATCACAAAGCACCACAAACTGAGTGGCTTAAAACAACAGAAGTATATTCTCTTATAGTTCTGGAGATTAGAAGTCTGAAATGGAGGTGTTGGCAGGGTTGTGCTCTCTTCGAAGGCTCTCAAGGAGGGTCCTTCATTGCCTCTTGCTCCCTTCTGGTGGTTGTCCGCAATCCTTGGCTTGTTAACACATCACTCCAGTCTCTGCCTTCATTGCCACATGGTATTCTCCTTGTGTACGTCTGTGCCCAAATTTCCCTCTTCTTCTAAGGACAACAGTCATAATGGATTTAGGGTTAGGGCCCACCCTAATCTAGTATGACCTCATCTTAACTTGATTACATCTGCAAAGACCCTGTTCCTAAATAAGGCCGCATTCACAGATTTTGGACAGATGTAAATTATGGGGAGACTATTCAACCCAGTACAGAGGGATCTAAATTTAATTTATATTTTGAGATTCAAACCAACACACTTACTAGATTTATCTACTGTATATAAAATAAACAGGTAAGACACATTTTATGTAAAAAGCTTATTTTTATTTGTAGTTTTATTTACATACATGCTTCCCCTAGATATCTAGTATTTTTCTCTTTTTTTAAAGCGTTTTTTAAAAAAAATTGATTGGGGGGGGCAGAGAGAGAGAGATCCATGTGAGAGACAAACATCGATTGGTTGCCTCCTGAGTGCATCATGCCCAGGGACTGAACCAGCAACCTGGGTATGTGCCCTGACAGGGAATCAAACCTGCGACCTTTCCGTGCACAGGACAATTCTCCAACCAACCAAGCAACACCAGCCAGAGCTCTAGTATTTTTCATTTATGTAGCAGAGATTGCATTAAAGGAATATTTGGTTATGAAATGTCTACTTATATAGATGTGGAACCAGAAGACTTTTCACATAGCTCAATATTTATAGAATCACACTAGACTTTTCTTGAGCATTTTAACTGCTATCAGAGTAGTACTTTTGTTCTCATTTATTTTAAATCCATAACACCTAACATTGCCTGATGCTGATTTACTGAGTGAAGAATGAATTAATAAAAGAATGGGGTATGTGTGTGTGTGTCTCCCTTAAGGAGTTGTCAATAGAGTCAGGATGTGGGGCATTTTTGTTTAGTAAATGTATTCTCTTCAGTCTTTTTTTAAAACCCAGGTGATGGCATTCTTCACACACTGTTCTACACTTTGATTTTATTAGTTATAGTATGCCATCCCGTTAGTATACAAATGCTGATTGCATAATGTTCCATTACACAGATATAATTTATTTAACTAGCCTTCCTTTTTTATTTTTAATTGTGATCAATACATATAACATAAAACGTGCCATCTTAACCATTTTTAGGTGTATGGTTCAGTATTATTAAGTATATTCACATTATTTTATAACCAATCTCCAAAACTTTTTAATACTGCAAAACCAAAACTTTATACTAATTAAACAACAACTTCCCATTTCTCCCTCCTAGAAACCACCATTCTTTCAATCTCTACAAATTTTAGCTAGTTTCACTTTTTAGTTATTTTCATCTTTTTCTTACAAACAATGCTGTGATAGCCATACATATGTGTCATTTTGTACTAGTAAGTATATCTTAGTTTTGATATATATATATTGCAAAATTGACTTTCAAATTATTGTACCAATTTATATTCCCCCAGCAATGTGTGATATAGTAGCTGTTTAAATATGTTTCAGCAAAGTTAGCTTGTCAGCCAAACTGAGTTGGGAACTTGGGGAAGGACAGGCACCTTGGAGGGAAGTTGGTGCTGCTGTGTTGTGCAAGAGCCTGGGCTCCCCCAGTGTTCTGCCTCTACTCTACCTCTGTTCCTTAAGGATTACTTGACATCCCATAATGCAGTTTCCATACCACATGCATTTTAAAAATGTAAAATGAATATTTTTCCCCACACAGCATAAGCTGAGTACTAGTAATAACATCTAATAGAGTGATTGGAATACCTCACTTTGCAGGTGGGAATCACAACTTAATATACAGGGTGGGGCAAAAGTAGGTTTATAGTTGTGAGTACATAAAACACAGTTTATTCTTACAGTATTATTTGTTAATTATTGTATTATTTTTCATACAAACAACTGTAAACTTACTTTTGCCCCACCCTATATGTTCAGCCCAGCTGAAAAATTTCCTTAATTTAAAATTTTAAGGTCTCTAAAATGAATGGATGCTTACTTATATAAATGGGTTTTATTAGAAAGAAAAAATTAGCAGAACCTTTTTCTGATGAGCTCTTCTAAAGAGCTCGCTCTATTATGAGGAGCTCAGCTGTACTGGGGTGACAGTGAAGGGTGACTGGGGAAGGAGGGAGGCTGGGGGAGGTGAAGCAGGTGGGCTCCAGGTTTCCTCATCCCTGTTTCATCCAGAACTGTAACCTACAGGTGGCTTGACTTCTTTCCTTATAGCAGTGAGTGAGATGAGTGAATACTAACGTATAATCAGCCTCTGGTAATTCATGTCAGATGTTTGAGAAGCCCTCGAAATTTCTTTGTAGGATACTAATGTTTGAAACTGGTGCTCAATTTTATTTTTTTCTGTGAAGTAAATTTACTGTAAAATGAGGGGTAACCTCATGGAGGTATCACTGTTTTTCCTTAGAGTGTACACATAGGTTTTGGTGCAATGACTTTCATCTGGGGGTTTTTAATAAATGTAGCATCTTTATTTTCTTATTTTAAAATGAAAATACTTAACTCATTTTTGTAATATATGCATATTTTATTATAAAGCAGAATTTGAAGGGCCCTGGGACTCACTCCCTAATGATGATCAGTATTAATAATTTGGGATTCATTCCCCTAGACTTTTTTCAATGTATTTATAACATATAATATTCCTTCTTTAAAAATATGTAATTGTGCTGTATGTGCTGTTTTATGATTTTCTCTGTTTACTTGATAACAAATCTTTTTTGGGTTAGAGTATAGAGATACCTTCCATTCTTTTAATGGATTTATACTCTTCCATTATATATAATTTTCTTATCCATCCCTCTGTTGGTGAACATGTTAGTTGCAATAAACATCCTTTATGCATACATCTTTGCCTATTTGGACAAATGTTTCTGTAGGATAAATTTTGAGAAGTAGAACTTCTAGATCAAAGGGTATGACCATTTTATATTTTAATGGATGTTTTGGGGCTCTACAAAATGTTCTATCAGTGTCCTGATTTTTATAGGAAATAAAGTTCTAAACTTGCAGAAGTTTTAGCTAAGTGATGTGTCATCATTAATGTATACCAGTTTTTCTAATATAAGGTTTCTAGTAATGTCAAAGTCTTTAAAATGACAGCTTGTTTATTCTTACAGTGATGGAATGGGGTGACGATATTAAGGCAATCACAGAAGATGAAGCAGTAATGTTGGTGAATCATCAGGCAACAGGAGACGTGTGTACTCTGATGATGTGCCTCCAGGACAAAGGACTGGTAAGCCATCTTGACGGCAGCAGTGCAGCCTCAATTCAAGTATCTTATGGTTTGGAACATAGACTTTAATATGTATACTTTTCCTGAATATTTAGAAAAACTTAGAAGAAAAAATATGTAATTCTAAGTCACTCCAGAAAAGGAATTTAGAGACTTTAAAAAAAATAACTGGGATAATGTGAATTATATCTCCATAAAGCTATTTTTTTAAAAAATAACTGGGATGAAAAAAAAGTCTGGTTTAAATTGGGGGCTGCCTTGAGGTGAAGTGGTAGATTGCCAGTTTGAGAAGTACAGACACAAAAAGCAGTATTGCTTAAGATAGAAGAATAAAATTGGTCAGTGAATTTGGTGATCTTGGGGATCTTTAGCCAAAGGAAAAAAAGGTAAATATGATTTTGGATTTCATTTGCAAAGCATATTGAAAGGAAAAATATCAGGCTCATTTTATTAGTGTTACTAAGGCTCTGTTTGAACTGTTGATTTACATTGCTTATATTGATAACTAAAATAGATCTGTATAGTGGGTGGGTTTAAAATAAATTGTCTTTAACAGTAAAGGAGTTATCACGTTGGGAGGAGTTAAAAAAGTTCTATTCATAGGAAACAAAATAAATAGAAAGTATACAAAGTTAATGGAGCAAATATTTGGCCTAATAGTAAATAAACAAATTAGTAGATATTTATTGAGTACTTCACATCCACAGTCAGTGACTATAAATATAGAGCACCATCCTATGAGACACTTTCCTACTCTTAAAGGAGCAACAGGCCAGCGTAGGTGGAGGGAGGGCAGAGCAAACAATACATAATTGCAAAGAGAAGTATTCAGTGGCAGGTGAGCACATGGTGTACTTGATAGATGTAGAAAACTTGTTGAAGGAAGGGGACGTCAACTTGACCTTGACGAAGGAGAATTTATTAAGGCATAGTCGTGGAACAAGGGCCTTGTCCTTTAGTGAAACATCTTGGCAAAATACCAAGGCAAGAATAAGCCTGGTGTGCTGAGGTCCTGGGGGTTTTGATTCAGTGGGTCAGGGGTCAGAAAATAAAGTGAGAGTCAAGGAAAATAGGTTTGATTAGTGTGGAGTCTGTTTTTCTTGTTTATCTGAAAAACAGAGGTACTATTTTGCTGGAACGTAGAATAAATTCAGTCCTTCTATTCAGAATCTTGAATTGTTAAAAGACTATCATTGTATAGATATATTTGTATTCTAGTAATATTTATTGCCTGTCCCCTAAATTCATGATGTTAAAATTTTGTAAAAACTACTTTATTTGGCTTTGTATCAAGAGAATCCCCAGCTGACATTTTTTACTGATACGGTAATTACACTTATAGCGATTATGCAAGTGTCCGTACTTAGTTTTGAATCTCAAAGAATGATTCAGATGGTCTGTTTAAATATGCCTAACATTATTACTCTAACTCCAATCTGACGTAGATGATAACTGTATTAACCAGATATAGTTAATGTGAAATTCTTTAGTCATGTGGACAGAAGGTTTTGTTTGTTTGCTTTTGTGAAAAGATTTCAGTTAGTTTGTCTTAGGTTCATTTTTCTGTTCAGAGTAATTCTGTTTTTGTTTTCAGATTAGTTATACTAAACATTTTTTACGATCTGATATTACTGAACAATTTGAAATCTTGAAGAATTTTTAAATCTTCTTTCATAAAGGAGGAGTTGAGAAATGCACAGCAGGAAGTATTATAACCTTTACCTATTGCCTAACAAATTAGGGCAGTATTAATTTATATTAACAAGAAGGAATGTTTACTTGATTTATATCAGACTCCATGGTACATTGAAAGAAAGTACTCTCAACACTTGGAGAGTTGTCTAGACTATAGTCAGGTTACTTCTATTCAACATTTAATTATTCCTTGTTTTTATTTTAGGTTGTTGCTCAAATGATGTGGTTGATGGATCATATTTTTAAGTACACAAACTTTGGAATTGTTTCTCTAATTCATGGAGACTTCTTTATAAGACAAGTAAGTAATGAGGTTTTTCCCCCCACAGTGATAGCCTGATCAAACTGATTCTTTATTGTATAAAGGAGCGTAACAGAACAAGTTATAATAGGTAAAGCCAGGGAGCTCTTCCTCTGACTCTGTTCCCTGCATCATTTATTTCAGTCTGAACTTGTATGCATAAGCATTCAAATGCTGATATTGTAAATATTCTAATCTCTACCTTCCTTCTCCCATCTCAACATTACAGTGTTCAGTATATACCTATCAGGCACCTGCCACATTCTCAGCTCTTCTACTTCATAGTTCTGTGACTTGGGCAAGTTATTTAAAATCTCAAAGTTTCCTCATTTTTCAAATGAGAATAATAGTGTTCCCGTCATAGGGTTGTTGTGGGGATTAAATGAAGTAGTACCTGTGAGGCACTCAGAACAGTGCCTGCAGCTTCATTCTCATTTTTATCATGATCACCACTATCATCATCTATATTTTCACTATTATTTTTATTTACAAGTCACTGTTATATGAGGTATGTAAATTAGCAGTAGGGAGATTATTAAATAAATAAGAGGAAATATTTTGAGAATTCATAGTAGGAAAAGTAAGTACCTCAGATTTCTGGAATCCAGAAAAACTTTAGAGGAGAAGATGGTACTTGGTATAAATATAAAGAATGATTATGGGTTTGATAGAAGAAGGAGGATTGGGACTGGGTCCCAAGCTTTAGGAATAATCTAGTATGTAGGAAAAGTAGCAAAGCCTTCTATCAAGTCAGCACTACATTGTAGTATTTTTTCTGACATGCTACTAGTATCACACACTTTATTTTCTCAGAAATGGGCAACTGAAATATCATATGCAAGTGTTTTTATGTATGGTAATGCCATACTTAGCTGGTGGTGTTATACTTGGCAACTTAAACCTGGATTGTGCATGCAGTACCTTACACATAATAAGTACTTAATGAATAACTAGTGAATCTAAGTAAGCCTCTTCTAAGAGCCACAAATTCAGAAAGAAGCTGGATGTTTGTAGGAAAATTCCAAGCTCTATGAAAATAGGTGTCACAAAACACACATTCTTTACTCTAGGCAGTATTACTTACAGAACACATTTCCTTTTTCACATGCTCTGCAGTTACCTAGTTTCTTCTGGAAACACTGTTGGTTCTGAGCAGAGAGATGAACAGACATAATGCTCTGGAACCTCAGAGAGAATTGGAAGTGCGGATTGGCCACAAGGTTGAGACAAAATAGTGATCAGAACAACAAAGAAACTAGCCTAATGTCTCAGAGTATGCCAGCAGTTGAAGCATAGCAGTTTAGGGGAATCCAGAGAAAAAATTAGCTGAGCCCTTTGCATCTTGGGAGTCTAAGGAAATTATTGAATTTATTGTGTATCATAGTAGAACAAGTGACCCTATTATGATTCTCCGTTATCAAGAAGAGGATAAATTATACTAAATTATTGGTGTACTTTGAGGGGATAAAAGTAGAAAATAATGCACTGTAAAGCATTTTTTTATTACGATATAAAGTTTTGCATACTTAAAGACTATTTCAGTATCAGAGAGATTAGCAGATTCTTTTCTAAAGAGCAACATTTTCCCCCGATAGTAACAGAAACCTGTAATGTGGAAGGAGAGAAGAAAAAAAAGTATTAATGGTAAAGAAAATCTCTTGGGACTTTGCTAATAGATGATTTTGACAAGTTATTTCCAAGAATATTAAAAATATTTTACATGTAGGCTTGGGAACTTAAATACATAAAGTTTCATCATAATTCAGTTCAGTAAATTTGCTAAGAAAAATGTCTTGTTTTGCATTCAAAATAATTTAAAGACTGAAAGCATACAGATTATTTTAAGGAGCTTCTGTAATTGCGTTGCTGGAAAATTATTAGTGAATTGATCATACTGGAAGGAAGAACCTTTGTAATATTTAATTGTGGATTTGGGGACTTTCTACAGTTTTCTCTGGATTCCTCTTATCATTCTCCAGGTCATCCTCTTTCCCTAAAATCCGGTGCATTAGAGTGTACTGTTAGCTTGACTTGCAAGTTTTTTCCTACACGTATCCATTTCTCATCAAAATACCATAGTCTAATCTCATCACACTCGTTTGTCTGGACCGCTGCCATAGTCTTCTAATTTATCTCTTGTAATCTTTTTCTCACTGGAGCCAGCAGACTCTTTTTTAATGTAAATAAGATCATGACACTCCCTTGTTCAAAACTATCCAATGACATTCTACCCCAAACCAGTCACAGAGTGCAAGGCCTTTCTTTTCTCACCCGTTCTCCGCCTCTGCATTTCCTCTCCTGAACTGCCTGCCTCATTCATCACACTTCAGCCAGGCTGGCCTCGAATCTGCCACAGCTTGTTCCCACCCCAGGGCCTTTGTCCTTTTGGTTCTCCTCACCTGGAATACTCCACCTGCATCTTCACGTGCCTTGTTCCCTCACGTTCTCAACTCTTTGTTCAAATTTCACCTTCTCAGAGCTGCTTTCCCTGACCCTCTTTTTTTTTTAAAGATTTTTTAAAATTGATTTTTAGAGAGAAAGGAAGGGAGAGGGAGAGAGACAGACAGAGGAACATCAATGTGAGAGCGAGACATCGATCAGCTGTCTCCTGCATGCCCCCTCCTGGGGACGGAGCCTGCAACCTTTCAGTGCATGGGACGATGCTTAACCAACTGAGCCACACCTGCCAAGGGCTCCCTGACCCTCTTGACCCTCTCTGTCCCCTTACTTTTCTTCCTGACACTGACCACCAGTTCAGTTTTCACTCCTTATTTATTATCTCCCCCATTGGAGTAAGCTCCATGAGGGTCTATTCTCTCTCTCTCTAGTGTGTTGGACATTGTCTGGCAAGTTGGAGGCACTCAGTAAACAGTCACGGAATTGATGAATGAATCAACTTTCATGGGCAGTTAGAGCAGTTTTTTTCTTTAATGAGAAGGGTTTATTTACATAAGTACTAATAACTTCTTTTTACCACTATGATTAAAATGGGCAGTAAGTGGGGGGAAATCACCATTCTAGTCTGTGATTAGATTTTACTTTAGAAGCTGCGATTACTATTTAATTTTATAGCAGTCTAATTTCATATGTACCTATACTTATTATATGTGTATCTACCTTCTAGGGAAAATCTCATCGTGACCAACAGCTGCTGCTTCTGAAGAAACACCTAGAAAATAATTATAGGAGCAGAGATCGAAAATGGATTGTTTTATTTCCAGAAGGGGGCTTCCTCAGGAAGAGGCGAGAAACAAGTCAGGCATTTGCCAAGAAAAATAACTTGCCATTTCTTACACATGTCACTCTGCCAAGGATTGGAGCAACAAAAATTATTTTGAATGTACTTGTGGCACGACAGGAAAATGGAAGTCCAGCAGGAGGAGATGCTAAAGAATTAGGTATGATGGTGGTTAGCATTTTTTCCCTTTGTTGGAATTAAGGATTTTCTGGAGTTCTAGAAGATAATGTTCTTTTCTATATTTATAATTTTTTTCAAATAGAAATAATACTCAGGGAGAAGGTGAAATACAATTTTAAATGTTTCTATTTGCAAAGGTAGTTCATGCTTACAGTAATCCATTCAAATAATACAGAAATGCATGAAGTTAGAGGTGTCTGTCCTTTACCTCACCTATTCTTACTCCCGGTGATTCTCACTGCTACAGTAAAGGTTCCTGTAAATATATTCACATTTTTGTGTAAGTATTTCTGTGGTGTAGATTCCCAGAAGTAGAATAGCTAGAGTAAAAGACATAGGGAGAGAAATGACTAATTTGTGAATCTAATCATAGATATGCAAATAAAAGTAGTAATGAAATATTTTTTTCACTTACCAAATTTAGACAGATTTTTTGTTTGTCTTTAATACAGAGAATGAATTTAATACAGTTTGGTAGTATTTAAGAACTTTAAAATGTTCAGTTATTCCACTGCAAAAAATACTGATCAAAAGGACATAATCTGAAATATTGTCAAAGAAGTTTATCACAGCATTATTTATAATAGCAAAAAAATTGGAAATAGCTAGAAGGGAGATGGGATAGGTAATTGTAAAATATCCATACAACAGAATACAACACAACCATTACAAATGATGTTTGTGGAGAATTGGTTTTGGCTTGGAAAAATACTTATGTTCTCTACTGTTAATGGAGTGGAAGGAACATACAACTCTGGTGAAAACAATCTGAGCCCAAAGATATAAACAATAAGGCAGTAGAAATTGAGTGAAAAGGAAGATTGCTTTTCTGAGTTGTAACATGATTTTTTTCTCATTTCTTAATGCTTTTCTGTATTTTTTAAAAATAATGAGTATAGCCTGGCAGGGCATGGCTCAGCGGTTGAGCGTCACCCCAGGATCCAGGCGATCAGAGTTCAATTCCTGGTCAGGGCGCATGCCAGGGTTTTGGGCTCGATCTCCCGTCGGGGGCGTGCAGGAGGCAGCTGATCAATGACTCTCTCATCATTGATGTTTCTATCTCTCTCTCCCTCCCCTTCCTCTCTCTGAAATCAATAAAGATATATATATATTTTTAAAAAGAGTATATATTACTTTTATGGCCAGGAAAAAGTAAACCACACTCAAAGATGCAACTGCATATCTTGGAGATAGTGGTGAATTGTGAATATTTGCAGACAGTGTTTCTGCCAACAGCATGAAGACTTGTTATGAGCGAGTTGAAGACACTATGACAATTTGGTGATAGAAGCTGAAAGAAACTCACTAGACCTATTTCCTTAGTAGCATTTTTTAATTTTTTAAAATATTCTTTAGACAAAGTAAAAATAGAACTAAGAGCCCTCAGAAATACCTATTTTTAAGTAACAATAAGGACCAGACATAGAAATAATGCCTGTGAGATTACACTGAGTTTTCCTTTTATTTGTTTTTTTTTTCTAAGCAACTACTTGGCAGTTAGCTCTCTTAATCTTTCATCATCTATTAAGAAGACAAATTGAAAAAGTCTTTTAATAGAAAAGGAACATTCAGAATAGCTTTGCTGCTAGAGAGACAGTGTGGCAATGTCAGCCAAGCCAAAGCTTAAAGGCAAAGGACTTCCAGATAGGATTTGTTGCACTAATTAAGACTGCTGTTTTTAAATAGTTTTACCCAGTCAATCTCCTGTGAAGTTTTAGATCTCGAATGTAGGGACAGTTTTCATACAAATTACACAAAGATGAAGAAAATTTTTTTTTCCCGTGGGAACAAGACAACTACTTACAACCAAAGCAAAATAGTTTATTATTTATCTTACTTTAGTTAAAATTTTTACTCTGTTTAGGAAAAATCATAAATTCTGGAAAGTTGTATACCCAAAAACTATTTTATTTTACCATTGTTTTCTCTGTGTTTTGGTATTATGTATTTTATTTTATTGACTGTTCATATTAATTATTTAGTGTTCTATTTCATACAAACATACCATGTCTATGTGTCTGTTTTAATATGTAATCCATACACATACCAAAGTTAAGTTGTATATGATTAACTTTAAATGATTAGGTTTTCTTTGTTTATTGTATGATTTAATAGATATTAAACAACTCTGGTGATTTTTCCCCATGGTTTTATTATAATTTTTCAAACATACATAAAAATTAAAACATTGTTATAGTTAATACCCGTGAGCTGACCAACTAGATTCTGTAATTAACATTATACTGTAATTTGCTTTATCATATCTCTCTCCATCCTTCTGTCTATCCATTAGTCTGTCTTGTTTGTTTGTTTTTTAATGCATCTCAAAATAAGTTGCAGACATCAGTATACTTTACCCCTCAACATTTCAGCATGTACATCATGGGTAGCTTGTCAAAATGTGTTTTGTTACATAAACTCTGTTCCTTTAGCAGTATGTTATTAAAAACATTTTTTTACTTATTTCTTTTATGGGCATTTTTCCCCCTTCAGGATGTTGTCTAAAAATTTTTAAGTATTTAAGGACAGTTTATAATTATTTGACATACAAAAGTAAAATATCATTGATTCCTATGCACATTTGGACTTGTGTTTGAAAGTAAGTTTTCTTTTTTAGGGATCTCAGATACCTCAGATAAAGGCTAGACCATTACGTGTTAAAGTCTGGCTATGCACATTGTGAAGATCCCCCTCTCAGTTCTCGCTCAACTTTGTACTCCATGCTGGCAGTAAAAACAGCATTTCCCCATTCCCTCTCACAGCAGTAGTTACCTGTTATACTGACCAAGGGCAAACAGGTTTATTGCTTTATTTGTATGTAACTCTTGCTACAATGGGAAGAGTTTTTTTGTTTGGTTCAAACAAGACCGACAATCATGTGTGTCAATAAATATGTTTACTTTTATTGCCTTATTCCAGTATTTATTAATGTCTCCCAGGTGTCACAAACCTTGGTGTTCATGCTATATTGTGTTATCTTTAATGGAGTTTTTGTTTGGTTTTGAGGTCTATTTTTCTTTTTTGTGATGTGATACTTTAACGTCTGACCTTTTCACAGGCCAGTTTTTATGAGCAATAAAATATAAATTAGACCTTGATAGTGCATAATTGTATTGAATACTTGAATGATACGTGTCCAATAAATAATAGTGCTGTTATTTGTTAATTTCTTTGAAGTCCATCTGTTTTATAATATAGGGGATGCTTAATTTTATTCTAAGTCCATCATATTGAACAGTAATACCAAAATTTATCCTGTTTTCTTAAAGCAGAAGGTATGTCAGTATGCTTTCTACTCCTCAAGTAACCTATACTATGTCATTTGTTGTAAATAATACAAAAATCAATCCAGTTTTAAGTCGCTTTTTTCTTTGTTCTCAGACAGCAAATCAAAAGGCCTCCAGTGGATAATAGATACAACCATAGCTTATCCCAAAGCTGAACCCATAGATATTCAAACCTGGATCCTTGGATACAGGAAACCGACAGTCACACATGTACATTACAGGTAAGAATTCTACATTAGTACTTAACATATATCCAACATAAAGTACTATCTCAGGACAGTGTGAATGTTTCAATATTAAATTATTAATCGATAATGAAAATGGTTGGCTCAAAATTATGATGTTGAATTTTTAATATGAAAATATCCCTTGAAGAGTTATTTTCACTGAGTGACAGAAGTCTCTAAAAATTACATTCTAGAATCACTGATTACTCAATTGTCTGAAACGCTTCTGTAAAAATAATTAAAGGGCAGACATCAAGGATAAATATATATATACTCATTTGTGTTAAGTAGATTTGTATTACTAGAAAGAGAATTTGTCTTTAAATTGTTAAATCATATAATATTTTCTAACTGATTAAATGGACAATTTAGCTATGACATACATTTTTTAATAGTTAATACTATGTCATTGGCGTAAACAACAGCAAAACATTTATTGAATATTCTGTGCTAGCTTTTTGAGATTTTTTAAATGTAGATTTCCTTTTTAAAAGTTTCATGTAAATGTGTGTAGATATTTATATCCAGGCATGATGCTGATAAGATCTGGATGGATTTGATCACTTTATAAGACATTTATCTTTACTCTTTTTTTCTGGTCAAAGATCTCAACCCAGGACAATTAAATTACAGAATGATCAGTTAGTCCTAAGGAAGATCAAAGAACAAAAACGATCAATTCAAGAGGAAAACTATTCACATTACATACCCTTTGAGAGTAGATAGGTAGCATATTTGTAAATCATCATATGGCTACACCATCAGAGTTTTACAAATATAAGCAGAGATGGAATAATTTGAAAGTTAAAATTTTAAACTTAAATATTACAGTTTGGGTTTTTGATGTGTGAGTAGTGAGTATAAAATATAATCGATTCTGCTGTGTGACTTTACATTGCTGAATTATGTTCATGTTTAAAGTAATTTTTTTTACTTTAAATAATTTTTTATTTTTCAATTACAATTAACATATAATATTATGTTAGTTTCAGGTATATAACCCAGTGAATTAGACATTATATAACTTACTAAATTATCATCCTGATAAATCTCATACCCATCTAACACCATACATAGTTATTACGATATTATTGACTATAATCCTTATGTTGTACTTTACGTCCCTGTTACTATTCTGTAACTACCAGTTGGTCTTCTTAATTGTTTCACTTTTTTCACTCATCTTCCCAAACTCCCTCCCGTTTGGTAATCATCAGAATGTTCTATGTATCTATGAGTCTGTTTCTATTCTGTGTGTTTATTTTGTTTCTTAGATTCAATTTTGATAGATATGTATTTATTGCCATTTAATTATTCTTTTTTTTTTAATCCTCACCGACGAATATTTTTTCCATTGCATTTCAGAGAGAGTGGAAGGGAGGGAGGGAGGGGGGAGAGAGAGAGAAACATCAGTGTGAGAGAGACACATTGATTGTGTGCCTTCTGCACGAGCCCCGACTGGGGCTGGGGATTGAACTTACATCACCGGGAAGTGAACCCAAGACCCTTCAGTGAGTGAGCTGACACTTTACCTAGTGAGCCACACTGGCCAGGGCTGATTGATTATTCATTTTTTATTTGATTTTTGAGAAAGGAAGAGAGAGAGAGAAAAAAAAAAACATTGATGAGAGAAACATTGATCAGTTGCCTCTGTACATGTCCAGACCAGGGATTGAATCCGAAACCTGGGTATGTACCCTGACTGGGACTCAAACCTCTCTACCTTTTGGTTTACAGGTTCACACTCCAACCAACTGAGCCACATTGGCCAGGGCTATGATTCATATTTTTTATATATATTTTTTTCTTCTTCTTAAAGACCCTTTAACGTTTCATGTAATACTGGTTTGGTGGTGATTAACTCCTTTAGATTTTTCTTGTCTGGGAAGCTCTTTATCTGTCCTTTGATTATAAATGATAGCTTTGCTGGATAGAGTAATCTTGGTTGTAGGTCCTTGCTTTTCATCACTTTATTTCTTGCCACTTCTGGCCCACAATGTTTCCATTGGAAAATCAGCTGACAGTCTTATGGGAGCTCCTTTGTAGATAACCAACTGCTTTTTTCTTGCTGCTTTTAAGACTCTCTTTGTTTTTAACATTTAGCATTTTAATTATAATGTATCTCGGTGTGGGCCTCTTCAGGTTCATCTTGTTTGGGACTCTGCGCTTCCTGGACTTGTATGTCTATTTCCTTCACCATGTAAGGGAAGTTTTTCATCACTAGTTTTGCAAGTAGGTTATCAATTCCTTGCTCTCTCTCTTCTTTTGGCAACCCCATGATGTGAATGTTGGTACACGTGAAGGTGTCCCAGAGGCTCCTTTCACTGTCCTCGTTTTTTAAAAATTCTTTTTTCTTTTTGCTATTGTGATTGGGTATGTTCTGTTTCCTTATCTTCCAAATCTCTGATTTGATCCTCTGCTTCATCTACTCCATTGATTGCCTATAACGTACTCTTCATTTCAGTTAATATAATCTTCATTTCTGACTGATTCTTTTTTATATTTTCTGTCTCCATTTTTATGTTTCCTATCTCTTTGTTGAAGTTCTCACTAAGTTCGTCTACTCTTCCCCTCAGTTCGTTGAGCATCCTTATAACAAGTGTTTTGAACTCTGCATCTAGTAGATTGTTTGTCTCCATTTTGTTTAGTTCTTTTTATGGGGTTTTGCTCTGTTATTTTGTTACCAGATGGGGACCAGGCTAGAGCAGGTCTCCTTCAGGCCAGCTGGTGGTATGTGGGTTCTTGACTTTGTCCAGGAAAGATTTCACAAGACGAGTCCAGGTGATTTTGAGAGTACATTTATTAAAGCTGGACAAGGAAGGGCTTAGGATAGAAGAAGCAATAGGAGAGAGCCTAGGTGGTGCTGCTTTGACTGTCTAGAAATGTTATAGGAAAGAAATGAGCCAAGACAGGGCTGTTATTGACTCACTGAAAAATCAGAGAAAGGGGCCTTGGAGACAGGTTCAGAGGTTTTGCTGCCCGCTGTTCCCCTGGTTGCAAGTCCCATGGGAGCCCCCAGAGTTTAAAAAAAAAAGTACCCAAAGAAGGGCATGGGCATGCTCCAAGGGGGTGGGCCCTTGTCCTTTGTTTTGAGGGCCTTTATCTGTCTTCTGCAGGCTGGAATCCTAGGAGAGATATCCAGGAGGGTCTCAGCAGAATATTCCTTAGCTTTCCAAATGAGTCCTTTAATATGTTGATATACCAAAATGAGCACATAGAGGGACTGGTATAATTTTCTGTTTCATCTTCAAAGAATGTCATTGAAGAGGGACTGGGACTGCCCCCAGCAAGGTCTGGAATGTGTAAACTATTTGCTTCTAAGTGTCCTTTTTTAGGGAAGATAAGACCTTGAGTTTATTATCTGGTTGTAAATTGCTCAACCAGTTTGTTCAGCTCTCTCAGTTTCCCCACTCCACTTGCCAAGGAAATTTCCTAGCTTCTTACTAACCTGCCTCACTTTCATTTGGGACATGCCTCTTTGTCTCCTCATTTTGGTGGCTTCCCTGTGTTTGTTTCTATGTATTAGGTAGAGCTTATACATCTCCCAAGCTTGGTAGAGTGGCCTTATGTAGTAGGTGTCTTATAGGGTCCAGTGGCACAGCCTCCCCAATCACTCAAGCTGGGCACCCCAGGTGTGCCCCACCCCTGTGTGGGCTGTGTACACCCTCCTGTTGTAGTTAGCTTTGATTGCTGTTTGCATGTCAGTGAGAAAGATTTACCCCCAAGCCATCAGCTGCAAGGACTGGCTGCAACTACAGTGGAGGATCAGCTATACAGGAGCCCACCCCGTGGAGCAGGACTCACTTCAGCAGGGCTCTGGTGCCTGCTGAGTTCGCTACTTGTGTGTGTCACTTGTGGAGGTAGTTGGGTGGTGCTTCGAAGTGGTCTGAAGCTGTCTACTGAGTGCATTGGCTCTGGGGCCTCCTGGGAGGTACAAAACAATGTCAGCCACCACCTGTGTTCTGCCTAGGGCCACCTGGCATGGGCTACAAAGCGATCTGTAGATGGCTGCTACTTGTGCTGGGCGTGGATGTGCTCAGGAGAGGCCACACTGCAAACCAAGCCAGCTACAGCTAGTTCTGGGCCTGGGGCCACTTAGCCAGAGGTATAGGGCATGATGAAACCAGAGGCTGCTTGTCTGAGAGATTTTAGGAGAGTCCAAAGTATGAGCCAAGAATGGCCGTTTTTATGGAAAAGCCACTGAAAACAGCTTGGGTTGGACCTGCAATTTGGGTGGGGCATGGTCTCAGGGTGTCTCGAACAGTGTTAGCCTGGTTGATGGGGACACAGATATGGAGCCCATCTGCCAGCTCTGTGGGGGAAGGGTCAGAAAAGGAACAATGGCCTCTGCCAGCACTTCTGTCTGGGAAGGAGCTGCCCCTCCAGCTCTCGCCATGATGCCAGACCAGTTTAGTTCCTCCCCGTATGTCCCTGGTGCCTTTCCAGCTGCTGCCCCAGCACTGGAGCTCAGAGCAAGTGAGTCCGAGTAAGCACTTCACAAATATAACGTACTATTATTAATATATATAAAGTGTGTATGGATGATTGCTAAATCCAGTATTAGTAAAGGAGCCTTCCCTATAGATCGGATGTAAGCCACAACTACATTATTGATCTTTTTTAAAAGTAAAGCTTGTTTTAAAAGAGGAACTAAAGGTTTAACTCTGGGAAACATTTGAAGGGAATGAGTTTTCCTCCCCCTCTCCCTTTTGTATTCCTGTAATACTGGAAGGCAGCTTCTTCCTATTTAAGAAGTAATGGGCTCGGTGTGCTGCTGTTAAGGAGTTAATAGGAAAATTAAACATCATTAGATTTTAATCACAGGGACACAGTGTTCATAGGGATAAAAGCAAAAGTAAGCCTGTCCTTCATATAAATCTCTGCTTCACTCCGAATTAGGACAGTGAGTTAGAGAAGCTGATTGTGTTATGCAGAAGAAGCTTATATTTTCATTGTTGAAATCTTGAAAAAATATGTAGCCATAAGTGTAGTGG